TATATATCTATATATCTATTTATTATAGGCATAAGTTGAACGTATTTAGCTTGTATTTATTTTATATTGCTTGTTTGTTTTTTCCCTGTTTTTGTAGTTAATACTATGAAGAATCTTGATTGGACATGTCTGGCATTTAGAACGAGTTTAGTGCTCATGTATTAATTGGAGAAACAGTTGCAACTATGTATATTTGTCTTAATTTAAATTCCTGTTAGGTGATATAAAATCAATTGGAGGAGAACAAAAATCAAGATAAAGAGGATCGATTAAACTCAGGCTAGGAGAGAGTGGGTATAAATTGTAATTTATCAAAATAGACAAAATAATTAAATAGAAACCAGCTGATTTTGAACGCTCTATTAAAAGGTAAATGTAAATATTAAGAGATACGTTTTATGATTTGTTTTTGTTAAAAAAGTATCCGTTTTTCTTTCGAATTGCATTTTTCTTTTCTTTCTTGGGTTGTTTTGTTGTTTTGTTCCTTTATTTTTGCTACAAAAATTATTATTCGGGCGTTCATATTTCATAGCCTTCTAAAAATTGACCAGGCCTATTTGTTTTTAAAAATATAAGATTTTTTTCTTCTTCTGGGCCCTGGGGTTGTGAATTGTGACTTATTTAGCCCTGTGGCCTGTGGCCCTGTGCCCTGAGTTGAGTATTGAACTGTTGATGTATATAGAGTGTATTTTTTAAATTGGTTTGAAATAAACATAGAGTTTTAGATCCATAGACTGTGGACGACTCGGCTGTCGGAGTTTGCAGGCTGCAAGGTCAATATTCAGTTAAAAACAAAAACAAAACACAAACAAAAACGAAGGGACACTGAGTCACTAACAGAGCGACAGAGAGCGACAGTCTGACACACTGTCGACTGGCGAGTGTCGACTATCGAGCGAGTGTCGAGACTCGAGTCACGAGTCACGAGTCCCCAGTGTTGAGTTGTCGACATTTAAAAAAATGAAAGTTAACAATACATACTACATATTTATTAAAAAAAATCAGTTTGCCACAGATTTGTCGTATTAAAATAAAAAAATGTGAACAAATGAATCCTTAGCGAGTATCTGGGATATATTGCTCTTTATTATTATCAATTACTCCTGCTGGTAAAAATAAATTTTAATTAATGCGAAAGTTTGTTTCGGGAACTTCTATTGCTGTTCAAGATGTATTCGAGAAAACAAGCAAAACAAAACAAATATTAATTATATTATTTATATCTAAAATAAATAAATGATATGCTTTAGATTTTGTTCTTGGCTGGAGTGAGGAGTCTGGAGATTGCAGTTGAAGGTTTTTTGCGAACATAGGGACCATAGAGTCAAATACTCGACTTTCCCGAGGCTCGATCTTCATCATGTGAATGTTATTTAATGAGTAATAGATTCTCAATATGGTTAATTATATGAACGAAAGGACAAGAGTAAAGTCCGATAAGGGCAAAGAGGCCTAAACAGGTCATCAAACTGATCTCATTCGATGTTCAAATTTCTGACGATATCAGACAACCGGCAAACGGCAAACAATCTATTTCACATTTTAAAAAGAAATACGTTTAACCTTTGTTTTTACAAAAAAAGGCTATTTGTTTTAGAAAACATTTTATGTCTGATTTAGAAGGCTATGGTATGTATGAATTATGGGAGAAGCAGAGTAGTAGTTAACTGAGTCTATGTGTCAAACTGGAGTCTCTATGGGACAATAACTATGTATAGCGGTGAGGACGAGTACATAAATACTACATAGTGACCTGAGTCTGGACCTGAGTGATCCCTAAAATGAATCATGAATTCTGAATTCATGATTATGAACGACATGAAGTCTCGAGTCTCGACTCTCAACTCATCTCGGGAGTCTCTCGAGTCTCGCAGACGACGTAGAAAGACGAAAGTGCAGACAGCACAGTGCAGACAGCACAGTGCAGACAGCGCAGTGCAGACAGCACAGTGCAGACAGCACAGTGCAGACAGCACAGTGCAGACAGCACAGTGCAGACAGCACAGTGCAGACAGCACAGTGCAGACAGCACAGTGCAGACAGCACAGTGCAGACAGCACAGTGCAGACAGCACAGGACGACGACGACGACACGACGTACG